GTTGAATTTAAATTAACAACTAATAAAGAGAACACTTACTTGTCAAATTCATTTTCACACCAATCAGGCTCTCTAACTTTTTGTTCATGCCATTGATAAAAAACCATATCTAAATCACTGCTAAGAAAAAGATAAGAGAATAAAACAATTCATTTCATTTATCATTACTTTGAAGAAATAATTTAGCTGAAAAGACAAATAGTTCCAAATGCTGGGAAAAGACTATAAAATCTTATAGTACGAAATAAAAACAATAACTTTTTAAAGACTACAAGTTGCACTACTCCGGTACAAAGTTTTCTTTTTAATCGAATTGATGACAATGTAAAAAATTATTAAAGATTATAAATTTTTTAAGAAAGAAATATTAAGTACATAACATCGATCATGCCTTCTGCAATGTAAAAGCTGATGCATATATCATTTGTATACAGTATGTAAAACAATAATTAACTGTCATTCGAAGCATTTTTTGTCTTGAAAGCACAAAATGATTGCCACTTGTTAAGGCAGAGAGGCTAACTTGGACTCTGGCCTACAGCTTAGTAAAGCTTCCTTAGACAAATGCAATTTCTTAGTCAATGGTCCTTTGAATCAGTAACTAAATACTCTTAATTTTTCTTCTTCTAAAGAACTTACACTAACATTAGTAGCTTCATACAAAAAGCAACAGTATAGTGTGCAAAATAAAAAAAATGAACACCTCAATATCTTTCGGCCTAATGATTTTATCTTCATGTACTAAGATGCTAAATTAATAGAATTATTAGGGTAACAACTTAGTGCATAAAAGACTATAAAGGTGCTCGCTTCTTTATTTTGCACATTGTATATAACACACTTGTAACAAAAAAATTAATAAACATTAAATTTATGAGCAATCCACAATAGGAATTTACTTGTAATTTTAACTTTTTTTAAAGAACTTAGATCAATATTTGCAGCTTCATTCATAAAGTAACAATATTAAGAAAGCAAACACTTCAATATTTTTTGACTTAATGATTGAATCTTTATTTACTAAGATGCCTAAGATACCTTAATTAGATAGCCTTGTAGAGATTATCTGAATGATTTGATTAAGATAGCCCCTTAGAGCCAATCTTTAGATCAAATGTTATTATATTGCACACCCTTATTGCACATTATATTACTTCTTTATATTGCACACCCTACATACCACACTATCAACAAACATTTAATCTATAAATTTATGAGGGATCCACAATAGGAACTTACTTGTAAAGAGGTAACAGAGACTCGGAAGGTGAAGTGGTCTCAGGAAAATAACTGAGTATTCCCATATAACTGAGTATTCCCTTCTGCTCCCATATAAGTGAAGGGCATTGCTACAGCTTCCCAATTAGAGTAAAAAGAAAACTGAATGGTCGCTTCCAGGCCACATTGGGATCGGAATTGCTTGAAAAACTTGGGATCAAAATGCTGTTGTGCTGCAACAGCATCACCTAGGATTATCTAGAGAAAAAAAAACTTAAACAAAGTTAAAAGCTTGACGATGTTCACATTCATTAATTACAATATAATAAACATCCCCACAGCAGCATCTTGCAAATTTTAGCTAAAAATTTGAAGCACCCTTAATTGATATTTTATTGTATCCTGATTGAATCCTAGGTGGTATTCCTCGGTCAGGTAAATCCTAGGTTTATGGTATTCTTATTGAACTATCTAGTCTAAAATATTTACATTCCTAGACCTAAATGAAATTTTTTTTCAAAATTAAAATTTTATCAAACTTAGGATATGCAGGGCAATATAATTTTTAATTCTTGAGGCCCATGCGCATAAAATATTCAGGAGTTGTTAGATGGTCTAGGGCAAAATTAGGAAACTTTGACAACAGCCAGTTGCAGCATTGTTAACAGTAGAACTTTTACAAAAATCGAACATTTTAAATGGTTAGAAATTGTCAATAAATAATAATATCAGGCATTTCTTTTAAAGCATCTCTCAAAATATGGTAAATATTACAATTGTAAAAGGAATAAAATTTTTTAAAAACAAGTGTGAAATAAAATAATTTCCTAAGTGTTATGAAATATTCATATCAATTCCATATTTATTTAAAAAATCAAAACCAATAATAAAGACACATTTCACATTTTTAATAAAAGGTGGCTACTGGCAAACAAGTTTTTAATCACTATTTGTAATAGTTAGCCACCCTGTGGCAATCGTTAATTTAGAAGTAAGCCCAAACTCTTAACCAAAGATTAAATGTTATTGGCTTAATAGTTGTTAAATTCTGATTCATAAAAAAATTTGAATGAGAGATGACATCGATTGAGAACATAGTGAATATTTCATATTGCATTATAACCGCGTTGAACAGCGGACCCAATTTTGGGTTTATAATTACCAATGTTGAACTCCGTAGCCTTGTAATTTTGATCCCAATCCAGAAGACAAGGGAACTCCTGGATCAAGTAATGGGAGAAATTTGCCTGGAGGACTTTTTTTGATGGAATTAACCCGAATTTGCATTACATGAAGAGAAAAACTACAAAATCTCCCACTGTTAGCCTGACAGTAAAGGGACTATAACCCATGATCAATCTATCACTGAGGATATTTCACATCAGCACTGTGGTCGGTGTGAGCCGGGTGCAGAATTTGCATTGACCAGTCATTACCGGGATTCAAACCTGGTTCACCTCATTGGGAGGTGAGCGCTCTATCCCCTGAGTCACCACTGCTCACCCAGTGTAGCACTTGTTATATGCTCATATTACTGTTTTTTTTTTTCAAATTTGGTTATAAAGAATTGAATTTTTTTAAAATTTTAATTTCAGATGCAATGGTGCCCTACACTTTGCCTTACGAGGAGTTGTAAGCTAAATCTTTACTTTTTAAGCATTTAAAAAGAATTTAAATACAACTCATGCGACAGTATTAATTTAAACTAGTGGGCTCCGCCCCCTGCACGCTAACGCTCGCCAAGCCCCGAAAATTGCTACGCAATCTTAGATGGTTTGCTTCGCTTGCTACTAACTTAGGTACATTGCAAATGCACAAAATTCTAAGAATTCAAAACAATCATTCAAATCCATATAACAAATTTTTTTAAAAAAAAATTACATTTTTTGAGTAAATACTAAGTCATTAAAATAAATTTGAATTCAAATAAATGACATGTAATTCGTTAAACCTATTAGAAATGTGCTATAGTATAAAATCTTA